TGTTTTTTTTTTTTTTTTTTTTTTTGAAAAGCCCATCGGCGTGGCCAACTCTTGCTCCTATTCTCGTCCAGGAGTACAGCAGAAACAAGTTGGTCAGCCCAGATTTCAATGATGCGGTAGACTTATGAAAGGCCCTTGGGGATAACCATGGGCATCGTTTGACTCTCTGTCAGCGCTTAGTAGTTGTTGGAGTGGGGCTCAGCGGAGCACCACAAGTCGAACTCAGCGCCGGTAGGATCAGCCATGCTTTCATGGCGAGGCATATCCCATGATGGATCCCGGTTCTCGAGGCTCTGCATGCTGGGGAGGTAGGCAGAGGCCATGCTAGGATGAGCGTATGAAACCGTGCCGGGAGACATGGACGGCGCCGACGAGGCTGCGTAGAAGCCGGGTTGAGTCTCGTCAACCCAGGTAGAACATGCACCAGGAGTGGCGGAATAGGAAGGAACGCCCATGGTGGCGACTCCGGAAGACTCGCCGCCGTTGCTAAGGAGCCGGGGATCCATGTCGTGCATGGGCAGATCTTGCGACGGGTGGGCAAGCTGAGGCTGGAGCAAATCGTGGTGAGCACCACCAGGGAGCCCAGCGAGGGAAGAGCCATATCCCATATCCTGCTGGTTTGGGCTGATGGGGCGGTAATGCATGTCTCCGTAGGTCTCGGGACCCTGGAGAGAGCTGGGCTGCACCACTGGGAGGCCACTCGGGTGGCTTGTGTTTTGCCAGGAGGGGTGGACATATCCGGGTGTCATCATGGAGTCAGGCCCAAATGGCGAAGAATCCCGGCTACTGTCGTAGTAGGCCTCTTCGAAGCTTTGGGATCGGGAGTGGACGTAGGAAGACCCGTGATACGTAGTGGATCCAAGATCACTATCCATGTCAGAGAAACCCCCTTCATCGGCGGCATGTCCTGACGTGAGGGTAGGAGAGCCGTTGCCGCGTCGGCTGGTAGTGGTTGTGGCTTTGTTGGGCGAGAACTTGTACTCTGGGTGTGTTGCAGCATGGTTGTCACGTTCTTGCTTCGCCAGGTCTTCATATTTTCGGCGAACCTCAACGGGTTCTAGCCTCCAGCCCTGGCCCGCGATCTTTGAGACGATTTGGTGGTTGTTCGCACCCACTAGTCTTTTGGTGCGCTCTGCGTATGCAGACCGATAAAGCATGAAGGAATTCATGGGTCGAGAGATCTTCCCGTTCTTCTTGCGCACCTCGTTCTGTCGCTCAACAGCAGACCGAGCCACCCAGGCGTCCATGTCTTTGATAGGAGTAGAGTGAAAAGATTCAGTGAGTTGACTGATTGGCCCATCGAGCCTGATACCTGAATCGGAGAGTTCTCTCCGGGCACGCTGGCGACGCCGTCTGGCTGCCCTTTTGGGACGAGTGCTCGGGGACCCGGCCTGTGACCAAGATGACGAAGGGGTCATCACAGTAGGTGATCCCATTGGAACGATATCTTCATCAGATGCGGGAGGAGGCGTGGTGACCTGGGCACCAGACATCATAATCTGATTTTATGTATCCTGATCAGTCTCACGCGCAATCAATTGACCAACATGGGAGTCGAACTTACCGATTGAGGAGGCATGTTGCGAGGAAAACTAGGGGTGGTATAGAACGGAGGAGAACCGTAGCGCTAGGATGGTTAGCATTGCTATCAAGGTAACAGCCAGAAGACAAGGGACTCACCATTTCTTGGTCCTGGCCACTGTTGATTTCCCCACGAGGCCTCTGCATGTCGATGCACACAGCTCGGTACGCTCCAGGGCCTTGGTAGGGCTCTTCAGGCAAAGGATGTCCGTCTGTGGACTGGGGAGGCGTAGGAGGAATGACTCTTGCCACTAAAGTCATTGTTGTGATCTTTTAGACCTTGGTAGACAGGATAAAAGATATGCTGATAGAGGAGAGTACAGAAGAGAAAGAGAGTTTCCAGAAAGAGGAAAGAAGTGGAAGAGATGTAGAATAAAGATATTCTCTGCTGTCCTACCCAGATGGTGGGTTTGTCTTGCAGTTGAGCTCCCCTGAAAGAGAGGTCTCAAACACGACTGCAGTTGAATCTGCTGGCAGGTGAGACAAACACTGCAACAATCCAATTGGATGAAGTGTGAATGTAAGTATGAAAGTAACTGAGTGTGAATATCAAGTGGATATGTTTTCCAGTTCAAAGAATTTGAGAGACAAAAAGCGCAAGACTTGAAGATTGGGAAATTGAAAGATGGGCGCGTCTCGAAATTAAATAGAAGTTGACAGCAGAGAGGGAGAAGAGCAAACTGCCGGAGGCTGAAACTGACTCAAGAAGAAGGCTGCAATACAACACGCATGGCGTGGATCTATTTCTCTTGGTTGGTGGTTAGTGTCTTTTTTATACATATTAAATTAATATTTATGATTTAATATTATTTAATATTATTCTTTCATTTTCGCGTCTATTTTATATATATTTTTCATTCCTTGTTTCTTTATTTCATTTCCTTTCCCTTTCTACTCTAAATCCAGTGGAGGCGTTCATGGCAGATTGTTTACCTTTTTGGTCCTAGTCGGATCTGCTATTGGCTTGATATGCTCAATTTTCCTATTGGATTTCCGTTCAACGCCTACAATAGTAATGGCATCTATGTTACACCCTTTAGCTATCCCAGCAATATCTCAAACATCTAGTCTTTGTGCCAAATTTGGAGAACTACAAATAGCATACAGAGAAAGAAAAGGTTCGGAAGATTGACCATGCACCGAATAAGCCCGGCATTAGAGTCCACATCGGCCCCAGTATGGAGCCATTGCACTGGAGGGGCAGACCATGGACCTGCAGGAACTTTCCAACGCCCGATACCTGGGCCACATTCAAATGGCAAATGGAAAGGAGATATCCGGAGCCCGGCTAAGAGGGGCTTAGATGCCAGGTGCATAGGAAATGTCATATTGTGATCTTAGCTTGGATGCAGGGTCGTTGGGATATTTGCTTTTTCCTCACATTTATTTTATTTTATTTTCTATACATCTTGACACTTTGACATTCAGAAAAAGCAATCACAGACAGGCGTATAGAAGATGCAAGTATCTAGAAAGATGCTTGCTTGGAGAGAAATGGGAAAACGATGCAGTAAAAGCATGTAGTACGTTGCTGTCAAGCGCGGTATACGTGATACTGTATAACACCCTCAAATTGAGACGTTTAGATAACTTAGCAGGGTAAAACCAAGCCTGGAAGACATACTATAAACCATGACAATACCAGTAACCTAAACTAGTTATTACATCGATTAGCTGTCTACTTTGTACTGAGTCATGAACGGCCTTTACTAGAGAGCCATATCCTACGGTTCAACCACACGGGCGATGGAACTAGTTCCCCTCAAGTTCCCATGCTCAGATCATCAACCATGGATTGCTTTACAGAAAAAGGCAACAGACTTGATTCAGATCATTGGTTCGTAACTTTGGGTCCGGGGACTCGGGGACTTCGGGGTAATTTTTTCCCTTTTCCCTTCCCAGCGTACTCATTATTAATCACTGTCAGGGAGTCTCGAGGTCTGAGCTTCGGGGGGAGACTCTGGTCTCGTTCTATCGCGGCTGTAGTGGATATGTGGGCCCTCGATGATCGACGGTAACTTGACATCAGTTCCACGGTTGATGCGTGGAAGTCTTGGCCATGCATGTCTTTCTTTGTTTGGCCCTCTACCCTGTCCCTGTCGGGCACTCGAGACCCGTCTAGAGGGACGCAGAATGTCAATCAATTACTCGAATGGTGTAGAACGTGCAGGTGCCATGTGTGATCTACGAACTGTTGGAAGGCTGAGACATGCACTGCATGGCCATGTGGGTTACCCCTCGATCAAAGAGGCCGGGGAGTTGAAACAAGCCTGCGCTTTGAGCTGCGTTTCTTTTACTTTTTTTATGCCCAACACGGCCCTGTAAGGTATCCTGTAAGCATCTTATTCGTCCTGGTCCATACGTCGTGATGTTATGGGCTAGACCATAATGTCTTGAATATCAAAGCGATCAAAGAGATAACATTGAGAAAGCAAAAAAGCTCCCTCCGCCGATTCGGGGGGATTGCATCGGGAAATCCCGCCAAAATCAGTTTGCAGTGCTCCGTACACCGGATCCCATTCGATAGTCGAAATACCTCACCGATGCCCTGTCCCTGAAGTCCTATAGTTGGTACTGCGTATCAGGGTCTTAGTTTTGATGGAAGTGCAGATCCTCAGGTACCGAATTCCTAGGACCAAAAATGAGGGATCAATAGAATATTCTCCGCCGCATCGGGAGGAATGAATCATCGGTGTCAATAGCCAATGGCTTTGGCAGCTGGAATTTCCAACTCCCAAGTCCCGTTCCGACGAATCGACGGTATTCACAAACGAGGTGCTCGGGCCTCTGAGCCACTACTGCAACTTTTGGCGCAGCGAACTCTCCTCTAAGAAGTATGAACCAGATTGACAACCAGGATCACCCCGCTTAAGCCCCCACTGATTTCCTTCGAAGACGTTCTAGAAGGCTGCCTCGACGGAAGAGGATAAGCTGCGACCCTAACCTTCGGATGGTCGCAGTTCAGTCTGCTGACTCGGCTGCTTTTGGATTGCACGAAGTGCACAGATCTCCACAGTCTCACTGCTAAACGGCGGTGTTTCGTGTTGGCCCTTCTCTTTCAACCCCTGATCGCCTGTTCAAGGGTTACGAGTGTTTCTAAAGATATATTCGTTTCAGGTTATTCTTACCACGTTCATTGTTGATGCTATTTTCGTAGCGACAGCATGAGAGAAAGGGAAAGAAGGTCGGGGGACTGACCAACATCATGAGGAAGGAGGTCCACATTTGATAATGAGAACAAGCATAAAGAAAAGGTGAGGGGACTGACTGAGCAAGGCAATTTTGTTACTCACTTTCTTATTCGAGGCCACCTGGACATGTTCCCCGATACCCCGGTGCCCCGATACCCCGATGCCCTGGACCCTGTATGTAGTCCCTTATAGTCCTACGCCTTTTGCAGGGGCCCCGGTTGACACCGCAGAACCGGCCGAATATGGTTGTCGCTGTTGTTATCTTGCAGTCTGCTGGAATTTACCTAACAGGTTAGTCGACTGTGAAAGTGTTTCAATCCGTCTTCGCGTCTGTGTTTAACTTCAAGAGTAGCTACTTTCGATCATTGCCACCAACGCCATGCTACCTATTAAACAGGTTCATACAACTCAATTGCAAGTGTATCTGCCGACACTCAAAGTCGTAGTCCACGGCTTGCGGTCAGGCCTCGCCGCATTAGGAGGGGGAAAGAGAGGCGGGGAGAATTTGTACGTCCCGGAATTGACGAACCAAAAGGAGTTGGACCGAAATTAGCGAACCATAAGTCACGCGCAGATGGCGGATCGCCATGAACTTCATCCCTGGAACCTGATGTCTCCGTGAACCGTGATGTCTCCGAGCCCCATAAAGCCTAACTCTATCCTATCAAACCGTAACCCATGACAGGATATCTGGAAAATACCAATAAATAACCCTGGAACGGCGGACGAGCGACTACCGACATGGGTGGGTAAGATGGGCGACATCTGATCTGTGCCAATTCCCAGACCGCCACGAGGAATCTCCTGCGCAACCTGCGAACAGCGGCTAGGGATTTAATTTGTTGATATATACCAGGGTTCGATGCGTGCGCCCAAAAAGGAGAAAGGAGAAAGGGTAGCTTGCAATAACCTGCAGGCCTCAAAACATAGCGGTGTTCTCAACCAACCAAACCAACAGTTAGATTCCCTCACGATTGGTTCAACACTGAGATCGTTGACGGTTTATCTGCCAGAATGCGCACGGACGACAGAGGAACGTAAATGCAGTTCCTGAGCTGCATACTTCGTACTTCGTAGATGTCTTGCTTTTGCGGCATTTTTCGTGATGTCGCACTTAATGTATTGAAGTCATGTTATCATGTTTATCCTTACCGCGAACATTGGATACGCGTCTTCGTTTCTCCCCCTTTCTTCTCTCTCTTTTTTTACTTTTCTTTTCAATTCCCACTAGCTTTAGATAGTGGCAGTAACGAACATCGATCGTCATATCGACGATTAGGAAATAGACTTAGACTTTACCTCCCCTCAAACCCCTCAGATGTGGAAAGTTGGTATGTGTGATCTGGTTGTCACAACTCTAACGCCCGACTCATTCTTCGGAGGTGGAATTGACCGAAACAGAAGGTGTGGTTCTTGGTTCTTACTAGTCAACTTGTATAGGCTGACAGTCGCTTCTATTGTCCAAGATCAGTCGAGATGGTACCATGTTTCCTATGGGGAGCGAGACCGCGAGAGAAGGTCGGAGAGATATTCGGAGAGATATTCGAGATATCTTAGATTTGGATTCTCAGGTCCGAGGTTCTCTTTTCTCTCTTCTCCAATGTACAGCTTTTCACTCTCAGAATTAACCTGAAATCAACAATTGCAACTAATGGTCGGAAACTAGTCGAATGAGCTGGGACCCGAGTCATGTACCAATACAAACAATTATGGACTAGTAATTCATCCCCCGGACCGTACTAACCTTAGAAGTACCTAGCTTCATCTACCTAGGACCCTTGTCGGCATGGCTTGCGGTCACCCGTTCAGAGATCCGCGGACATTGTTTACCTCCGGATCACGCGAAGCCCTAATCCGTACTTCGACAATGTACGTTGTCCAGATATGAACAGAACGGGGGGTGGGTTACTCAATTTGTCCAAATAACGGCAGGTCAGAGCTTTAGAGTTCACTGAAAGCTTATTTCTCATGACTCAGGCGAATCGGAGGCCTGTGGAATGAATTAGAGAGGACGAGACCCGGCGAGGCAAGGCGACAAGGAAGATCGTGGGTACCAGAGTTTGGCGCGAC